AGCGCCACCTGTAACAGTCGTCACCCAAAATACTATAACAGGTGAACTTTTCTAACTTTATTGTTTAATAAGACACTAGTTACATTTATATGATAAAGGAACTTTCTATAAAAATGATGAAACTGCTGATGATGTCATTGATAATGTTGATGATGATGATGTAGTTGTATATTGATAAGGGTAATTTCATTATCTGATGATGATTTATGATCACTAGACTATACAATTGATTATTCCTGATGATGATGATGATGATTGTCAGTATGATATTATATTTAAGCAATTCAGACTAGACAATTGATTAATCCTGATAAAGATAATGATGATGATTGTCAGTATGATATTATATTTCAGCAATTCAGACTAGACAATTGATTAATCCTAATAATAATGATAATGATGATGATTATCAGTATGATGTTATATTTCAGCAATTCAGACTAGACAATTGATTAATCCTAATAATAATGATAATGATGATGATTATCAGTATGATATTATATTTAAGCAATTCAGACTAGACAATTGATTAATCCTGATAAAGATAATGATGATGATTGTCAGTATGATATTATATTTCAGCAAATCACACTAGACAATTGATTAATCCTAATAATAATGATAATGATGATGATTATCAGTATGATGTTATATTTCAGCAATTCAGACTAGACAATTGATTATATCTGATCCTGATGATGATACTGCTGATTCTATATCTGTAGATCCTAATTTATCATCAGTTAATACTCTGTTAGAAGGTCAGTATTATAAGATTACAGACTTTCTATGTAAATTGATCAAACTATATTGTTATTATTATGTTTTTGTGTTGAAACACATCTAAATCAAACTTTCCCTTCAGATATCATAAATACATTTCTCATTTTAAGTTTCCCTATCTATGATAGCATTAGTCCCAAAAACTCTGACACTAGCTTTAGGCATTGACAGATATTATTTATAGCTTGTCGTCTGGTGAAAATTCAGAGAGAAATGTATTAGTTTTGCCATAGTGACCTCATATATGGTGAGGTCTTTCTGAAGGAAAATTGGAATGATGCAAATTAATGGCCCTGGATCACATTAAAACCTTTTCCTAACCCTTATTTTTGTCCTACCTGTATATCTTTTTAATCCTTTTTGATGACATGAATTGGCAAACCCACAAAATCCATATTATGGACCTAAAAATATTTCATAATATTTATTGTAGATGAAAGAAGACCATTGTTAAATACAGATCAAAAATTACCAGCATACGTAGACAGCACAGTATCTGTAGAATATCAACCATATAGTTCAATATCTCATTTCTTTAGTTCTCTTAATCCTATTGATAGTGCTGCCTGGCAGAAATCATCTTGCTTTGGTAAAATATATCATATATTTAAGGTAAGAGTTACTCAGTCATTATGGGGGCTTGCTTTTACAGTTTCTTTGATTGTTGGTTTCCAACGAAATGTTAATCATAGTTTAGATTATTGAAAGGATATAGACATCAAAATACTTGATTACCATGTGAGGTATACATATCACTTATCAAAATTAATATCTGACATGAGGTTCTCTAGAAATTGGACCAAATTGTACCTCTTAAGCTAAGATTCCATGCGGACATAAATGACCCTTGCGGATCCGTCATGCGTCAAATATGATTCCATATGTGCGTTAAACGTATGCGTTATCTTACTTTTGACGCACAGCCTTCTAGACAGATGGATGCTTTGGTGCATAAAAAAGACGGAATCCCCACAAAATACATCACATTTGGGAGATCTCTACGCGTGACGGAGACCATTTGATGGATGCCGCTTCCGCATATATGAAATCATACCCTCTTAAACCAACCATTTCGATTTTTAACGCATGACGGGTGACGCATGACGGGTGACGCATGACGGGTCCGCATGACGCCTATATGGAATCTTAGCTTTATACTGTTGACTTATGTGTTTTGGATATAAATTCATGATCAGGACAATCTGATAAGACATTTTGTTCAATCGTTATTGATTGATCTATGTTTTACTTAAGTAGACAGGTTCACCATTTTCTTGACCAATTGTACTTTAGAAATGGGAATTTTTAGCTAAGCTAATCAGTAACATTGTTCACAGATCATGCTCAATGTTTTAGCCTTAATTTCCATGTGTGCCCAGAATTATCTGTGTTTGAATGTTAAAAAGACAAATTTTCTTGAGACACTGACATATATAGAAAAGACTGCATCTATAAAAATAGAAAAAGAAATTCCCAGTTTGAGATATTTTTGATGGAATTGTTGGTTTTTTGTACATTCCTTGTTCTTCTGAAAACTATTTACAAATATTCAAGACCTAAATCAACACCCAAAAATTCTGAACCTGTCCCTTTAATGTGATAATATTGTTCTGAAAATAAGAGTCAACATATTGGGATAATGTATGGTGCAACAGAGGTTGGGAAATTTGATATTTTTCATTTAATGTAATAATTTATACTTAATGTCTGACGGAGGCTATTTTTGACCGGCCATTTTAGACTGACAAACGGACATGTTTGGCAAATATTACAAACTCAGCATCCATGTGTTACGCTGGCTAGGCAATATCTGAAATTTGTTATCTGAATATTTTAGTCATATGTAAGATAACCTTGATTATATTCAAGTAAGGGTCAATATGATATCTGATAAAATATGTGTTTTATCAACTACTCCTGATGATTGTTATATAGTTTTTTTAAAGATGAACAAATCAATATGATGTTAATCACAAGTGTCAAGATAATTTTTGAATAGATGTATTGCCTGTAGTGCTTACGATCTTAGTGTCAAGAGCAACAAAGCGCTTTTTCTTTATCATGTAACTGTTTAGAGAGTTTCTAGATATTCCCACCATATTACCCTTTGTCAATACTTTAAGCTTTCTTTATTAAACTTTGACGGGTTTGGTCTTGAAACTGACTCTGGATGTTGATTTCATATCATTTTATATATTGATGAGATCTTGGATATTTAGAATTAAGTTGGCCAGTGACAGTAGGAAAGCTAAATGAATTTGTTGATACCTAATGGAGCCATAGTTTTAAGCACATGGATCCAATGTAGTTCTGTTCTACGTCTAGGGTATTTTTAGGAAGTCATCCATTTGACTAATCGTAGGTCTTATTTTTCAGAGTCCAGCGGTATTTATGTTAAAGTTAACTATACCAGTTGTAGATTATGATGTAGAAAATCATAACTGGTGTCGATATTTAAATGCTCTCCATCTTACCACTGGTCCTATGTTTGCTATATTTTCTACTAAATGTAAGTATTACAATTTGAGTTAGAAAAGGAAACAAATGCGTATAAATATGCAAAAATAAACAACATTAGGTTTAGAGACACTTGGTTTCAGAGTAGCGCAAGAAGTGCCAAAAATTTGAACACGAACTCTCTCGTTAAGAGTACTGGTTATAGTGGTATGCCAGTCATCACATTTAAAAAAATATCATATTCGAATACTCTATGTAATCAGTTGATTAGAATACAACTCAAATTACAATCTATAAGGAGAAAAGCTCAGTAATCTAAATCTATTAAACTTGAATAAAACTGATAGTGAGTTGTATTAAATTCTACTCAGGGTAATCAGTTGATTAAAGAATACAACTCAGTAATCTAAATCTACTAAACTTGAATAAAACTGATAGTGAGTTGTATTAAATTCTACTCAGGGTAATCAGTTGATTAAAGAATATAACTCAGTAATCTTAATCTATTGACCCAATATGAAATTGATAGTGAGTTGTATTAAATTCTACTCAGGGTAATCAGTTGATTAAAGAATACAACTCAGTAATCTTAATCTATTGACCCAATATGAAATTGATAGTGAGTTGTATTAAATTATACTCAAGGTAATCAGTTGATTAAAGAATACAACTCAGTAATCTTTAACTAACATTGATAGTGAGTTGAATTAAATTCTACTCAAGGTAATCAGTTGATTAAAGAATACAACTCAGTAATCTCAATCTGTTTAACTAACATTGATAGTGAGTTGTATTAAATTCTACTCAAGGTAATCAGTTGATTAAAGAATACAACTCAGTAATCTCAATCTGTTTAACTAAAATAAAATTGATAGTGAGTGATATTAAATTCTACTCAGGGTAATCAGTTGATTAAAGAATACAACTCAGTAATCTCAATCTGTTTAACTAACATTGATAGTGAGTTGTATTAAATTCTACTCAAGGTAATCAGTTGATTAAAGAATACAACTCAGTAATCTCAATCTGTTTAACTAAAATAAAATTGATAGTGAGTGATATTAAATTCTACTCAGGGTAATCAGTTGATTAATGAATACAACTCAGTAATCTAAATCTAATATTGATAGTGAGTTGTATTAAATTCTACTCAGGGTAATCAGTTGATTAAAGAATACAACTCAGTAATCTTAATCTATTGACCCAATATAAAATTGATAGTGAGTTGTATTAAATTCTACTCAAGGTAATAAGTTGATTAAAGAATACAACTCAGTAATCTAAATCTACTAAACTTGAATAACATTGATAGTGAGTTGTATTAAATTCTACTCAGGGTAATCAGTTGATTAAAGAATACAACTCAGTAATCTTAATCTATTGACCCAATATAAAATTGATAGTGAGTTGTATTAAATTCTACTCCAGGTAATCAGTTGATTAAAGAATACAACTCAGTAATCTCAATCTGTTTAACTAAAATAAAATTGATAGTGAGTTGTATTAAATTCTACTCAGGATAATCAGTTGATTAATGAATACAACTCAGTAATATCAATCTGTTTAACTAACATTGATAGTGAGTTGTATTAAATTCTACTCAAGGTAATCAGTTGATTAAAGAATACAACTCAGTAATCTCAATCTGTTTAACTAAAATAAAATTGATAGTGAGTGATGTTAAATTCTACTCAGGATAATCAGTTGATTAATGAATACAACTCAGTAATCTCAATCTGTTTAACTAAAATAAAATTGATAGTGAGTGATTTAAAATCAGTTGATTAAAGAATACAACTCAGTAATCTAAATCTAACATTGATAGTGAGTTGTATTAAATTCTACTCAAGGTACT